GGGATGAGGAGGCCCTGGGGGAAGAGGAGACCCTGGGGGATGGGGGGGCTGTGGGGGATGAGGAGGCCCTGGGGGAAGAGGAGACCCTGGGGGATGGGGAGGCTGTGGGGGATGAGGAGACCCTGGGGGATGGGGAGGCCCTGGGGGATGGGGAGGCTGTGGGGGACAGGATGGCCCTTGGAGGAAGGGGAGGCCCCATGGGATTGGGTGGACAGGGAGACCCTGGGGGACAGAGTTGTCCCAGGGGATGGGGGGCTCTGGAGGATGGGGGGTTCTGGAGGACAGGGACAGCCTACCCCTGCCCTGGGGCTCTAAACACTTCGCGCTGACATACAGTTCTGATGCGGGGGGGGGCCTGTCCAGCACTGTCATGGAGCCATGAAATCTCCACAGTACATCTTCATCATCTTCATACTATCACACTCCTCAGAAATGCACAGGGAGGATCCCAGTCTTTCTGCTGTGTGGGATTTTTCCACCAGCCACATCACCCTGGGGGCAGAGTGGTGCCTAAAAATGTTACTCTAGTACAACAAGGTTTCAATGCAGCAGCAGGAGGTGCTCTGCGTCACTGTGGGAGGACGTCCTTAAACTGCTTACCCCTTGTTTGAAACTCTTCATTTCATTATAAAAAGAATAATGTAAACGTATCCTCAGTTTATCATATGTAGTGTTGAAAGGTCAGCCTGCAGACAGAGGGCGCTACCTCTCTCTCTCGCTCTGTCCTGGACAGCCGCATCTGCTTCAGCATTTGAGAGCGCTGCTCCATCACCAGTGTTTTCTCGTAGGTAAAGGCTGAGATGTCACGTTCATGCTGGAGAATTGAATGGACAGGTCCACGGTCAGCAAGGTCTGGTCCATAACTCTCCTCTACAGATTACATGGCTTACAAATTGCAGGTGAATGTGTACAGTAACAGTGGCAGAGAAAACATGGTTCTACGATTTCCGGAGCTATGCATCCCTTGTGTGTGACCACAATAACTGCACACTGTAACGTTCATACCAGGAGAGGCACTCACCATCTCCACCACCTCCACCTCAGCGTCAAGCCGGAGGTGGTAGAGGAACATCTGCAGGTCCTTCTTCATCTGGATGCTGTTGTCGTCCATCTGAGCCACGGTAAAAATTCGCATCTTACACCTTCTCCAAACCTACACAGGGAAAGAATTTAAAAATTAGTCACATACGTTTTCATCCATACAGGGTCACATTCAGCCTTTATCCTACCCCAGCAAACACAGGGCACAAAGCATGGCACATCCTACGTGGCATGACTGGGGTGACTCTGCAGGAGGGGAGAGGAGGGGAAGGGGTGCTTCCTCAGAGGGGAGGGGAAGCGGTGCTTCCGCAGAAAGGAGGGGAAGGGGTGACTTCGGAAAGAGAAGGCGAAGAGGTAACTGCTGAGAGGAGGGGAGGCATCGAGAGGCACCTTGTGCTGATGGAAGAGGAAGGGCAGCAGCATGAGCAGGCCTCCATCATGCACGATCCACCAGACATCGATGGTTCCCTCCAGGCGCTCCAGGTTGGTCGGGAAGCTGTCCACGTTCTTGGCCACCAGCAGGGCTTGGTGAGCCGCCGTTGTCTCCCTGATGGTCTCTGTGGGGAAGTAGGGTGTACTTCTTATAGCACTGACAATCTCCCTACCCGCTGTGAGATTAACGCTGCAACTCCATGCGCCTGTACGGAAGTCCAGGCGCATAAGATCCTACCAAACTCCCTGCTCAGTGCGCTGCAGGGCTATGGTGGAGCCTACCGATGAAGTTCCTCCAGGACTGACTGTCCTCCGCCTGCTTCCAGTTGCCAGGCCAGGCCATCAGCACAGTGTTGTGCTTCATGCCCCCCAGCCCTGCCGTCTGGATCAGGTGGGAGAAGCCGTCCCGCAGGTTCGAGGACACCACCGCGTGGCAGAAGCCCTTCGTCTTCTCCGCAGACATGGCCGATTTGATGCTCTGCGTGTGTCACAGACGAGGACAGACACCCAGAGCAGGGAAGGTTAGTGACCCCACCCAACACCAGCCATTTTCAGCCAGAAACTCCTGTATATGGTCTCGAAAGGATTATAGTATGCTTATAATATTATCATCTGACAGAACAGGAAACCTAAGATCTCCTACCGGAAACTCACCTGATTGCAGCTCTTACTGATAGCTACACATAGACTAATTCATTTACTGCCACCAGCACACAGCACCAGTGTCTTATGCTCTGGAAGTGTCTGCAGTCAGCATTGGCCTGTGGTCAGGGGCCAGCGGGGGGGAACGTAGCGATCAAAGCTGATCGGGGAGGAAGCAACACTCACGCCACCCTAACAAACACTACGAGGGCACCATTAAAAGCTAAGATGTGAATTTTGGGCCGATGCAGCCTCTGTAGGGCGGGTCCAGCTGGGGACAGAAGCTGTAAGCAGACACCATGTGACCAAAAGCAACTCGTGAAAAAAACACGGTGCCACTTCACAATAAGGCTGCCCAAAAAAAGGGTTTATGAATGGTTTATAATCTGGTTAGTAATTAGGTTGTAACACTTTGTAAAGTATTAATAGACAATTTTAAACAAGTTATAACACAGTTTTCTTTTTATTAATGACTTATTACCATTTACAAGTAGCCAATGGGAGCCTTATTGTGAGGTGGTACTGAAAAGACATCTACAGTAACCAGGAAAATCAAACCTTTTCCAGATATTTTATCAAACTTGCACAAAAAGTTTGCTTATACAGCAGCGATTATGTGTGTGACAACTTAAAGGCATTCCTGCATTTTTGCATGCAGAGCCTGCCTCGCTGCCAGATATTGAGTTGTGCCAGCAGGGGGCGCCATGTCCTGAGATGACCATTTTCCGGCATAAGTAGGAAGGGGAATTGTTCAGAGCTCCTTGGTAATGGGTGGCTGAAATAGCTTGAGAACAGCAATAATGAGGCTGACTGCGTATCCCCAAGCCTCACTCACCTGCTCAGCCCGTTTGGCCTCGGCGCCTTTGCTCAGGTAGGTGCCCTCCAGCACGGAGCTGACGATGGTCAGGCCCCTGCCAGCCTTCAGCTGTGTGGTGAAGGACAGCAGGCGGGGGTGCTTCACGGCCAGCTCCCCATCCAGGTTCAGAAGCACCAACAGCTGGGGTCTGCGGGGGGAGGTATAGTGTGATGTGGTTAAGGAACAGGGGGTTACAGTATAGTGTGATGTGGTTAAGGAACAGGGGGTTACAGTATAGTGTGATGTGGTTAAGGAACGGGGGTTACAGTATAGTGTGATGTGGTTAGGCAATGGGGGTTACAGTATAGTGTGATGTGGTTTAGGAATGGGGGGGGGTTACAGTATAGTGTGATTAAGCAATGGGGGAGTTATAGTGTAGTGTGATAGGTGCATGCAGCTACTTGATAGTGACTTCTGTCACTGGCGGGGCCTGAACGTGCAGCGATGTGTATGTAATGGTTTCCTGACCACATCCAACCACACGCAGCACCCAAACCTGCTTGGGACACGTGAGCTGGCAGCAGGAGAAAGTTCTTCTGTGCCACCCCCTCACCTCCAGTTCTTGGTGTGGGGAGGAGCCTCCTCCAGGCGGATGAGGGCGTAGCGTGCAGCATTGAGGGACAGCCCCCGGATACCATCACCCCATTCCTTTTCCGCTCTAGAAAAAGACAGACAGGCATGCTACTGGAGGAGCAGTACCCTGTATTTCCACAAGGAGGTGCTAGAAGGCACCTTCTTTAGGGTAGATAGCCTTGAAGGACACCTTCAGAATACAGCTGAATAAACACTCTGGATTTCAGGTTGAAGGGTCCTTATCTAGCTTCCTGCAAAGTATTGACCATGTAAACATATTCTCAACAAACTCAATCTGACGAATTCAAATTATTATTACAAAAAAATTGGTTGACACCATTAAGGGACAACATTTTCATTTTCATTTACAGACAATCTTCCAAATTTGTGTAAGGAGACCGTGCTTACATTTTAAACAAAGGCAGATCTTTAATACTTGCTCACACCTGACTCTAGCAGCCTGAATAAATCAATGTACACGTGCGGAGCTGAGTCATGGTATCAAAAACAAGTTGGCAGCTGTGAATATCAGTCTTACCCTCTGTACTCAATGTACTTGTAGATGCAGCCAGCAATCAGCATGGCCACCAGGGCGTAATACCAGGAGGAGATGAACATGAGGGAGAGACAGAGGCTCATGCCCAGGAATGAGAGGGTCCTGCAGGGAGAGAGACGGACGCATTCAGGACAGCACAGTGCTGACGGCCATAACCACACCGACAGGATGGAAGTTTAAACAAGGTTTAGAAAGTATTGCAGATTCACGCTGTGGTATCTGGGCAGTTACGAGATACTCCAGACCTCCAACAGAAACACACGCGACCTTAAGATCAGGGAAATCCTTTTGTTCAGTGTTTGAATGTGCCACTATTATTTTCATGACTACTGTCATTTCCCCAATTGTGGACCCCAGAGAATTTCACCAAATCAGGCACCCGCACCGCACCCACACACACACAAATACACACACACACACATGCTTGTATTCATGTCTTTGTGAGGTCCGACCATTCACTTCTACGGGAAAAACCATATTCCTAAGAATGACAACCTTAACCCCTACCCAGCCCTAACCTTGACCCTAAGTAAGCAAATAAAAGATTGACATTTTTAGTACAGACGCTCCTCTACTTACGAGCGAGTTACGTTCCGAACGGCCGTTCATAAATTGAAATGTTCGTAAGTCGTTATTCAGTATCATTTTAAGGGTATACACAAGTACAAAGAACTAGGATGCTGGGAGTACGCATGCTACGCTGCTGTGCGGCGGGAGTAGCGGCCAGAAGTCGTACTAGGCGGAATTGGCGCGCAGAAGAGAAACTTACAGTCCTCTTCGTATGTCTGAAAGTTTGTATTTTCAAAGTTCGTAAGTAGAGGAGAGTCTGTGCTACGACTGTAGTCACAGATTTCTGTAAAATTGAGTTTATCCTTGTGATGAGATACAGGATACAGGTTTTTATCACGTTGTGGGGAAATCTGGTCCCCACAGTGTAATAATTACAAAAACACACACAAATACACAGGCACACGCATACAGTCATCATTCATTCTCAAGTCTAACCTGAATAATCTGAGCATCAGAGTGGAACTGGGAACACTGGTGCCCAGTGACATGTATGTGTGACGGGGGTGGGGCTCACCAGTGGTAGAATTTAAAGCGGGGCCTCCAGTTGGGGGTGCGGAGCAGTGTCTGAACAGCACAGGCCAGGTTGACAAAGAGGTAGCACATCAGGAAGAACCTGTGGGCAGATAGAAGGCAGTCTGAGCTGGGGAACCCGCAGGTCAGGAAGAACGTGTGGGCAGATAGAAGGCCATCAGTGAACCAGGGAACCCGCAGGTCAGGTAGAACGTGCGGGCAGATAGAAGGCCATCAGTGAACCAGGGAACCCGCAGGTCAGGTAGAACGTGCGGGCAGATAGAAGGCCATCAGTGA